CCTGGTCTACACTATGAGTTTAGGTCGAATTTAGCAGCGTTAGATCGATTTAACCCTGCACCTGTCCACACGACGAAGCCATTTTTGTCGACTTAAACGGCTCTTAAAATCTTAACATTTCTGTACTCCTCCCCGACGAGGGGATTAGCGCTGAAATCGACCCTGCTGGGTCGAATTTGCGGGTAGTATGGATGCAATTCGACGCTACTGGCCTCCCGGAGCTATCCCAGAGTGCTCCATTGTGACCACTCTGGACAGCACTCTCAATTTAGATGCACTGGCCAGGTACACAGGAAAAGCCCTGCGAAATTTTGAATGAGCTCCAGCCTGGACTGAACGAGATGTTCTGCATCTGATCGCTGTATGGGGAGATGAATCCGTGCTATCTGAACTCCATTCCAAAAGACGAAATGCTGGAATATTTGAAAAAATCTCCAAGGGCATGAAGGACAGAGGTTATAAGAGGGACCCGCAGCAGTGCCGTGAAGAACCAGAGAAGCAAATGGCCACTCCGGGTCAGAGCCCCAGACATGCCGCTTCTATGATGAGCTGCATGCCATTCTAGGGGGTGCCCCTACAACTACCCCACCCACATGCTTCCCTTCTCCCCCACCCCTCCCGGGCTACCTTGGCAGTTATCTCCCCATTTGTGTGACGAATTAATAAAGAATGCATGATTTTGAAACAACAATGACTTTATTGCCTCTGCAAGCGGAGATCAAAGCGGGGAGGGAGGGCGGTTGGCTTACAGGGAAGTAGTGTGAACCAAGGGGGTGGGTTTTCATCAAGGAGAAATAAACAGAACTTTCACACTGTAGCCTGGCCAGTCATGAAACTGGTTTTCAAAGCTTCTCTGATGCACAGCGTGCCCTGCTGTGCTCTTCTAACCGCCCTGGTGTCTGGCTGCGTGTAATCAGCAGCCAGGCGATTTGCCTCAACCTCCCACCCCGCCATGAACGTCTTCCCCCTTACTCTCACAGGTATTGTGGAGCACACCGCAAGCAGTAATAACGATGGGAATATTGGTTTCGCTGAGGTCTAACTGAGTCAGTAAACTGCGCCAGCGAGCTTTTAAACGTTCAAAGGCACATTCTACCACCATTATGCACTTGCTCAGCCTATAGTTGAACTGCTCCTTACTACTGTCCAGGCTTTATGAGCCATGGGAGCAAGGGGTAGGTGCGACCGCAAGGTGCTGCCGACTGGGAGAGCAGCCTGAGGCAGAAGCCTCCAGCTGGCATGATATTCCAGGCAGGACTGAATCTCCATTAGACGAAACTTAAAGAAGAGAATGACCTGGAGTCATTCCCATTTTTGTCCAGGCGCCCCTGACCGACCTCACCAAGGCCGGCCAGGAGCACCCATGTCTGCCCAGGCGTCCCCGACCAACCTAACCGAGGTCGGCCAGGAGCACCCACGGGACAACGACGACGGTTAGCAGTCGTATTGCACCGTCTGCCGTCCGCAAGGCAAGGCAAGGGGATGCTGCAGTGTAGCACTGCAGTACCGCATCTGCCAGCAACACCCAGGAGACATATGGAAACAGTGAGCTGAGCGGGCTCCATGCACCCCATGGTATGTCGTCTGCACGGGTAACCCAGGAAAAAAGGCGTGAAACGATTTTTTGCCGTTGCTTTCATGGAGGTTTAGACTGGACATTAGGAAAAGCTTCATAACTTTCAAGATGGTTAAACACAGGAATAAATTGCCTAGGGAGGTTGTGGAATCTCCATCATATGAAATTTTTAAGAGCAGGTTAGACAAACCGCTGTCAGGGATGGTCTAGATCAGGGGTAGGCAACCTATGGCACGCGTGCCAAAGGCGGCACACGAGCTGATTTTCAGTGGCACTCACACTGCCCGGGTCCTGGCCACCGGTCCGGAGGGCTCTGCATTTTAATTGGATTTTAAACAAAGCTTCTTAAACATTTTAAAAACCTTATTTATTTTACATACAATAGTTTAGTTATATATTATAGACTTATAGAAAGAGACCTTCTAAAAACGTTAAAATGTATTACTGGCACGCAAAACCTTAAATTAGAGTGAATAAATGAAGACTCGGCACACCACTTCTGAAAGGTTGCCGACCCCTGGTCTAGATAATACTTTAGTCCTGCCATGAGTGCAGGGGACTGGACTAGATGACCTCTTGAGGTCCCTTCCAGTCCTACGATTTAGACATTAATGCTCCATTTGTCCCTTGGTCTGCACATTTCTTTGTAGGACTTCTGGACAGATTTTATTTGCCAATTGAGTTTAGTCCATTATGGTGGGCAGGGCCGGCTCCAGGCACCAGCCGACCAAGCACGTGCTTGGGGCGGCACCTTGTAAGGGGCGGCCAATCTTGGGGTGGCAGGGCGGCGCTGAGAGTTTTGTTTGTTTGTTTTGTTTCAGCAGGGCGGCGCTCGGGGGGTATTTTGGGGGGGGGGGTTCGGCGGGGCGGCACTCAGGGTTTTTTGTTGTTGTTTTTGGTTCAGCGGGGTGGCGCTCGGGGGGGGTTGGTTTTGGTTCGATGGAGTGGCGCTGGGGTTTTGTTTGTTTGTTTTTGGCTTGGCGGAGCGGCGCTCGGGGGGGGGGGGGTTGTTACGGCGGGGCATTTGTTATTGTTGCTTGGGGTGGCAAAAAAGTTAGAGCCGGCCCTGATGGTGGGCCTGGGAATGTTAGGCTCAGGACTTTGATTGAAGAATGTACTTTTATGATTGAGCCTTGGGGGCATTCCCAGATAATTAATACATATGAATAATATGGATATGGTATAATACACCATATCCATATTATAGAATGTATGTGTACATATGACACCACCTTATATTCAAGCATAACAATTTTTTAATTTGTTGTTGTAGTCTGCCACTTTTACTTTGGTGCCACAGATAGCATCACATTCCTATTAGGGTAATTACAGTTACCACCTGTATTATTATTAGTAGCAGGCTGAGTGTTTTGAAATACTGGGATAGGCATTATTACAGTGTGTTTCACAGTGCTATGTATATGAGAAGTAAAACAGAAATATGGAGTAGTGACAGTACAAATGAGGCCTTTATATATAAATGTCTTGTCTTTAGTTATTACACAGTACTGTCCTATCATATTATATGTCAGTGGTTTTCAAAGATCGTGTTGCGACCCAGTACTGGGTCGCAGAATGCAAGGCATTGGGTCGCCTTGCTCAGCATTCAGGGAGCCTGGCGACCGGCCAGTAAAAACTACTAGTCCCTACCTGTTCTGACACCGTGCTGTGCCCCAGAAGCGACCAGCAGGTCCGGCTCATAGGCAGGGGGGGCCACAGGGACTCTGCGCACTACTCCCACTCCAAACACTGGCTCCACGCTCCCATTGGCTGGTTCCTAGCCAATAGAAGCTGGGGGAGCGGTGCTTGCAGGCGACAGCCACACGGAGCCACTTGCGCACCTCCACCTAGGAGCTGGACCTGCTGGCCACTTCCGGGGCACAGCGCGGTCTGCAGTGCCAGGACAGGCGGGAACCTCTCCTCTGCACCCTGGCTGTGCCGCTGACTGGGAGCCACCGCAGGTAAGCCTGTGCCCCAACCCCACGTCCCAATCCCCTGCTCCAGTCCTGAGCCCCCCCCCAACCTGTAGCCCCCTCCTTCACTCCAATCCCCTCATCCCTGGCCCCACCCTGCAGCCCTCACCCCAACCATCTGCCCCAGCCCTGAGCCCCCTCCCACACTCCAAACCCCTCATCCCCAGCTCCGTTGGGTCACAGGCATCATCAATTTTCTTCAAGTGGGTCGCCACAAAAAAAAGTTTGAAAACCACTATTATAGGTTACCCTTACTGCTGGTTGTTACCCTTTGGTAAGCTTTGCAGGACAGGGAACATGAATGGCTAGCTTCTGTTCCATTGATTGCTCTGTGATACACCAGTAGCTGAAGTAGATCCAGTTGTTTCAGATGGATGCTGTCTTCCAGATAACCTACTGAATGGACAGTAATCAATTTTTTAAATATTCCTGTGTCAGGATTTAGTGTTGGTACCCAGACACTGAACAAGATTGTTTTAATAACATGTGCCTCACTTAGGATGAAGTGTCACTGACCCCAAATTGTGACTGGTACTACCAGGGAATTTGTTTACCCAATTTGTAGTTACCGTGTAACTTAATTTTTTTTACCAATTTGTTTTTTCCTTGCCTTCATGTTGTTTGCTGCTATTCGTTTGTTGATTTTTACCTGTGTGTTGGTTAAACAGTTTAGCAATGTTATGCACATGGTAAAGGTTATACAGCAATAATACAACAGTACATCAAAAATACAGTAATACAGTTACTTTTACACAGTAGCTAAATTTTCAAATTAAATGACAGTTTAACCTGGTTCAGCTAGTGGTTTTTAGCTGATTGTTAACTTAATTGTTTATATAGGGTAGACTGAGGTGTAGTTGACCAGTCTCTTATTTGTAAAGCACTTCGTTTTTCTCTTTTTGATGCTTGTGGAGTTTTTTTTGTTTTTACTGTATACTGATATTTGTTGGCGTTTTTGTGGTGTCATATTTTTCTGGTGGTTTTGGTTTGTGGGATG